GGCCAGCACTGTGGCATAGTGAGCAAAGCCGTAGTTTGAGTCCTGGCTGCTCTACTTCCTGTTCAACGCCCTGCTGATAGCCTGGGAAAGCATTAGAGGAAAGCCCAAGTGCTTGGGCCCCTGCACCTGCGTGCAAGACCCAGAAGCTCCTGGCTCTTGGATTCCGATCCTTCCAGCTCTGACCATTACAGCCATTTGGGGAGTGAACCAGCTGATGGAAGACATCTCTGACTCTCCCTCTCTGTAACTCTGCCTCTCAAGTAAATAAATAAATCTTGGAAAAAAATTATATCTAGGGGCTGGTGTTGTGGTATAGAGAGTAAAGCTGCCACTTGTAATGGTGGCATCCCAAATGGGTGCTGGTTCAAGTCCTGGCTGCTCCATTTTTGATCCAGTTCTCTGCTAATGTACTTGGGAAAGCAATGGAAGATGGCCCAAGTCTTCAGGGCCCTACACCCATGTGGGAAACCCAGATGAAGCTTCTGGCTCCTAGTTTTGATCTGTCCCAGCCCTAGCCATTGCAGCCATTTGAGAAATGAACCCAGCAGATGGAAGAGCTCTCTCTCTAACTCTGCCTTCAAATCAATAAAAAACAAATCTTTAAAAAAATTATAGCTAAAAGTAGTATCAACATGTCACATCTACTAGAATAAAAGCACCTCATTCAAGAGCCAAATTATAAATACATAATACACTTGGAAACTGCCGAAAGAGGGGCTGGCACTGTGATATAGTAGGTTAAGTCTTCACCTTTGGCACCAGAATCCCATAAGGGCACCCATTCAAGTTCTGGCTACTCTACTTCCGATCCAGCTTCCTACTACTAATGGTCTGGAAGTGGAAGGTGGCCCAAGTGCTTGTACCCCTGCACCCACTTGGGAGACCTGGAAGAAGCTCCAGGTCCAGGCTCCTGACTTCGGATCGGCCCAGCTCCGATTGTGGCTTTTTGGAGAGTGAACCAGTAGATGGAAGATCTCTCAGTCTCTGTCTCTCTCTCTCTCTGTAACTGTGTCTTTCAAATAAAATAAATAAATCTTAAAAAGAGAAATGACTGTAAGATGCCTACGCAGTACTGATAAAATTTAGACCCCAAAATGGGACAGATGAGGTGGATGTCATGGATGCTTGTGGCACAGCAGGTTAAGGTGCCACTTGGGACACCTGCATCCCATATTGGAGTGCCTGTTTCTAGTCCTGGCTACTATGCTTCCTATTAAGCTTCCTGCTAATAAGCCCGGGAGGAGGCAGATGATGGCTCAAGTACATGGGCTGCTGTCATTCATGTGGGAGAACTAAATGGAGTTCCTGGCTTCTAGCTTTGGTGTGGGCTAGCCTTGGCTGTTGTGGGCATTGGGGAGTGATCCATAGATGGAACAGCTCGCTCCCTCCCTCCCTCCCTCCCTCCCTCTCTCTCTCTCTCTGTCACTTTGCCTTTCAAATAAATAATCTTTTTAAAAATTTATTTTGATTTAGAAAGATATAGTGATTGGAGGAAGTAATGAAATATAACTATCAATACTTCTTAGCAATGTTATAGTTGTGCAGGGAGCAAAGTGAGTTCATAAAGAAAATATATCAAAGTATCACCACCTTGATAGAAACCCTCATTCAGAAAAGCTGATTTTGCAGCAACTGTGTATCATTTTAGGTTAAGGTAAAAGGAAGAGGATGATATACCATGGTAACATAAAGGAAAACTGGAGTAGCTACATTTATTTCATACAAAGCAGACTTCTGAACAAGGAAAATTATCAGGGATAAAGAGCAGTATTACATAATGATAAAGGGATTCATTCTCCAAGAAGACATAACAAGGCTTATTAACATGTAGGCACCTAACAAAACACGTGAGGCAAAATGTAATATAACTGCAAGGAAAAATAGATGAGCCCACTCTTACACTTGGAGATTTCAACACTCTTCTATTAGTAATGGACAGATCAAGCAGTTAGAAAAGTCAGTAAAGATAGTCGAACTTTGGACAGGCAAGTGTTACAGGCACTGCTTGGTATGCCCTTATCACATATCAGAGTGCCTGAGTTCGAGTCTCCACTCTGCTTCCCATCTAGCTTCCTGCGAATGTATACCCTGGGAAAACAACAGGTGACAGCTCAAGTACTTGGTTTCCTGACACCCATGTGGGAGATCCAGATAGAGTTCTGGGCTCCCGGCTTAGCCTTGGCCCACCTCCAGCTGTTGTAGACATTTGGGGAATTGAACCAACAAATGGCAGCTCTCTCTCCATGTCTCTCTTTCTCTCTCTTTCTGTTGCTCTGCTTTCAAATAAATAAAACTGAAAAAAAAAAAACCTAAAAATCAATAAAACGAAAATAAACTAAAAATCAATAATGATAGTTCAGAGATTCTAAAATATTTAGAGGTTGACACACTTCTAAATAACATATGGTTCAAAGAAGCCTCAAGAGAAATTTTGAAATATTTTAGGGGTTGGCATTTGGCCTAGTGGTTAGCCCCCATTAGGACTCCTGTTTCACACTGGAGTATGTGGGTTCACTTCCTGGCTCAGGTTCTTGAGATACAGATTACAAATATCCATTTGGGAGATTTGGATATAGTTCCCAGCTCCCAAGTTCAGCAACCAGCACCTGGCTGTTGCAGGGGATTGAGCCAGCAGATGAGAGAGATCTCTTTGTTTCTGCCTCTCAAATAAACAATAATTTAAATTTTTTAAAATAAAAATTTAAATATAAGTTTTAAAAATACTTTTAACTAAGTAAAATACAATTTATAAAAATTTGTGGGATTCAGCAAATAGAGTTCAGAGGGAAATTTATAGCTTTGAATATACATATCAGAAAATAAGAAAGATCTAAAATCAGTAATCTAAGCTTCCTGCATAGGAAAGAGGAGAAAGAAGAGCAATAGTACAAAGTAAACACAAATCAATGAAATAAAAAACAGGAAATCATAGAAAATCAATGAATCCAAAAGTTGATTCGTTGAAAAGATCAATAAAATTGATAAAACTCTAGCCAGGCTAAAAAGGAAAAAAGGAGAGAAGATAGATACAAATTATAAATATCAGAAATGAAAGAAGGGTCAGCACTAATGATCCCGTGGGCATGCAAACTACAGTAAAAGAATATTATGAACAACTTTATATCCACAACTTTGATAACCTAAATGAAATGGATCAATTCCTTGAAAGACAAAATCTACCAAAACTCACACAAGGAGAAATAGATGATCTGAACAGGTCTAGATATATTAAAGAACTTGAATCAATAATTAATAACAAAGAGTAGCAGGTCCAGATAGTTTTAACAATGAATTCCACCAAACATTTAAGAAAGAAATGATACCAATTCTCTACTATCACATCCAAAAACAAGTAGAAACAAGAGATATTTAAACCAATCATGTGAGGTCAGTATTACTCTAACACTACATCCAGATAAAGATATTACAATAAGTAAAACTATAGACCAATAAGCCTCAAGAACAAAAATGCAAAAATTCTCAATAGAATAACAAATTATATCCAATACTCTATAAAAATATTTAAACAAATGACCAAGGAAAAGTTATTCCAAATCTTCAAGCTGACTCAACATTTGAAATTAATAAATATAATCCATCACATTAACAGACTAAAGAAAAATCATATGATCTTGTTGGGGCTGGCACTGTGGCATAGCAGGTTAAGCCTTCGCCTGCAGTGCTAGCATCCCAAATGGGCGGTGGTTTATGTCCCGGCTGCTCCTCTTCTGATCCAGCTGTCTGCTTATGGCCTGGGAAAGCAGTAGAATATGGCCCAAGTAGTTGGGCCCCTGCACCTACAAGGGAGGTCTGGAGAGAGCTCCTGGCTCCTGGCTTCAGATCAGCCTAGTTCCAGCCGTTACAGCTATTTGGGGAGTGAACCAGTGGACAGAAGACCTTTCTCTCAGTGTTTCCTTCTCTCTATCTGTAACTCTACCACTCAATTAATTAATTAAATTTAAAAAATCATGTGACCCTATATCACAAATGTAGAAAAAGCATTTGGCAAAATACACTGCTCATTCATGATAAAAATTCTCAGCAAACTAGGAATAAAGGAGATTCCTCAATTTGACAAAAAGAAAGTCTACAAAAAGCATACACCATCATTCTTAATGGTGAGAAACTGGATGCTTTCCCTCTAAGATTGGTAACTAGGCAAGGATGTCCTCTCTAATAATTGCTATTTAACATTGCATGGGAGTCCTAGCTGATGCAATAAGAAAAGAAAAATGAAAGTATACAGATTGGGAAGGAAGAAATAAAACTGTTTACAGATGGCACGACTGTTCATGTAGAAAATTTCCAAGTATATGACAAAAAATTCCTGGAACTAAAAAGTGATGAGTAAGGTCACAGGATATAAAATTAATATATATAAGCCAGGGGCTGGCACTGTGGCATAGTGGGTAAAGCTGCTGCCTTGCAGTGCTAGAGCATCCCATACAGGCACTGGTTCGAGTCCTGGCTGCTCCTTTTCAGATCCAGCTCTCTGCTGTGGCCTGGGAAAGCAGTAGAAGATGACCCAGGTCCTTGGGTCTCTGTACCCACGTGGGAGACCCAGAAGAAGCTCCTGGCTCCTGGCTTTGGATCAGCACAGCTCTGGTTGTTGCAGCCATTTGGAGAGTGAACCAGTGGATAGAAGACTCTCTCTATCTGTCTCTACCTCTCTCTCTGTCTTTCAAATAAATAAAATAAATCTTTAAAAAAAAGTGATTTCAAACAAATTATTATATGGAAAATATAAAATTTTTATTATACTTTGCTACTCTTCTTGGCCTTAATATAGTCTTAGGTACAGAGCAACAGATTCACTTTGTAAATAACAAAACACATTTCATTAAAATCATCCACTAATAAATTTTCCTTGGTACACTGAAGATAGTCCATTCATAACTTCTTAGAAATGCCATGTCAACTTTTTTCCTGAAGTTTCTAAAATGTATATTTTCTAACTTTTTTGGTCTTACTGATGATCTTAATGGAACTATCTATGATGTTCTGGGATGTGAACAAATCATCTTAGGTACCCCATCTCCACAGGCATGCAAGTGATAATGCCTTCACCTCTAATCTTCACAATGCTGATTTCTGTTTGGAGTTTATGGGCAAGATTTAGCTCCGTAGATATGGACAGAAACACAGGTCTGACAAGTAACATCAACATCAGGACTGAAAGTGCCAGGACTACAAACCACTGCAGAGGAAAACACATGGAATAGATTATTATAATTTAGATGTATTTGATACCCGTAATATCAATATCACACTGTTTCTATAGCTATATTTTCTGAGTAATATTCAGCCAATTAAGTTTTGGAAGATTATGAGTTTCAAACTTTGTAATTTGATAATCTTAAAGATAGGAGAAAGCTAGAATTCTAATTATTTTTTCTGTTAGTAACAGCATTTATAGTATCTTCTGCTATGCCCCATTTATGAGTTCCTATTTCTTAGTTCTCTGTGTTCTGTGTAGGATTATTCTGTTTTCCCTCATAGTATAGTAGTCTAAACCACAATACTACTGAAATATTCTGTAATACAAGAGGGTACATTAGAAAGAATATACATTCAAATAATTATATTTAGAAACATGGGTTTTGAATTTTTTAATTTCCCTTTCACTAAATGTATTTTTGCTAATATAATCAGTATAAATATTCAAGGATCCTGAATTATTCATCTATTCTTCTGACTATACATTTAAATATTTATATTTTATAATTACCGCAACAGCTAGCGCAATTACTGTGTAGACCTTCATTTTTTCCAAAGCCTGGTCGACAGCTATCCAAACGTACTACTTGAAAACTGTGGTCCACAAAATGCATAGCTGGTAGAGTTTCATTAAAGTGATGATAGAAAATATATGCTTGACTTCGAAAAAATTCTTCTATCCGATCTCTTGCCTGAGATTTAAAAAACCAGAGAGAAGCACAATTATTAAACCATGAACCAGATTTCTCCTCCTGATCAGAAGCAATGAAATGCAGTATAAGCAGCCATGCTTTATACAAATAGATGGATTCCTGAAAACTTGTATTAATATTATTGAAATTATTGTAGCCTTGACTTTATCAACTACTGTCAATTCACATGTACAATGATAAAAAAAAACAACAAAAACTCTATCTGGGTCCCCCACATGAATGGCAGGGACTCAAGTACTTGAACAATCATCTACAGCTTCCCAGGTGCATTAGCAGGGAGCAAGAATGAGAAGCAGAGGAGCTGGCACTTGAAATGCACGCTAACATGGGACACAGGTGTCCCAAGTGGAAGCTTAATTTGTTGTGCTACAATACCTGCCCCTTTAATTTAGAGGCAGAGCGTGGGAGAGTGAGAACATAATTCCCCATCTACGGAAATTCCCCAAATGCCTGCAACAGCTGCTGAGGGGGCAGGTCCAAGTAGAAAGCCAGGAACTCAGTCCAGGTCTCTCCTGCGGGCAACAGAAACCAAATCACTAGAGCTGTCACTGCTGCTTCCCAGGTTCCGCATCAGCAGGAAGCTGGAATCGGAGCCAGAATCAGGTACTGACTGGGATACTTGGATATGGGACACGGGTATCTTAACAGCTAGGCTGGAATGCTCATTTCTAATTCTATATGATCATCAAGAAAAAAAAAAGAGAATCAAGCAAAATGAAAAGCAACAGTTTTCTCTAATCAGCATTAAATTTTTTTTTTTTTTTTGAACAGGCAGAGTTAGACAGTGAGAGAGTGAGAGAGAGAGAGAAGGGTCTTCCTTTTTCCGTTGGTTCACCCCCCAGGTGGCTGCTACGGCTGGCGCCCTGCGCTGATCTAAAGCCAGGAGCCAGGTGCTTCCTCCTGGTCTCCCATGTGGGTGCACAGCCCAAGGACCTGGACCATCCTCCACTGCCTTCCTGGGCCATAGCAGAGAGCTGGACTGGAAGAGGAGCAACCAGGACAGAATCCGGCGCCCCAACCAGGACTAGAACCCGGGGTGCTGGCGCCGCAGGTGGAGGATTAGCCTATTGAGCCGCGGCGCTGGCCAGCATTACAATTTGATGTAATTTTTTAAAAAGACATACTTATTTAAAGGCAGAATGACAGAGAGAGAGAGAGAGACAGAAAGAGATCTTCCATCTGCTGGTTCATTCTCCACTATGGCTAAGACTGGGCCAGGACAAAGGAGCTAGGAACTCCATCTGGGTCTCCAACATAGGTGGTGGGGTCCCAAGTACTTGGGCCATCTGCTGCTGCTTTTCTAGGCACGTTAGCAGGGAGCTGGATCAGAAGCAGAGCTGCTGGGACTCCAATTGGTGCTCGGATATGGGATATTGGTGTCATAGGTGGTGGCTTAACCCACTGTGCCACAAGGCTGGCCCTGTTTTATTTTTTGAGCATAGAGTTTAATAATAACATTAACTTAGTTTCCCATAAGTCATGTACAACACTAAAGGTATGGACTCAAGAACTAGATCAGGAGAGTGAAGAGATTTTTTTAGGACTATGTCCTTAGTTTCTGAAGGATGGCAGAGGAGAAAGCCATTATTATGATCAGTATAGACATAATTTGGAAGAACCATTGGTTTAACCCAGGATGGCATGATGATGAGGTTGTTTTCAAGTTACTTAATCATCATTTGGGAAACAAGACCAGCGATCCATCCTTCTGTTATAGGTGAAATGCTTAACAGTAACCTGAGGAACTCTATAATACTGCAGATGTTCTACTCCAAAGTAACACATCTTCAAATAGCCAAGAATATCACAATCTTTGTTTAAATTACCGCAACAAAAATGTCAGTAATACTTTCTATCAAAGTTTTTTAACAAATAAATGTATTCCTTAGAAATGTTTTTACTGATATATATTTACAACATGAATAGATTTTGAAAGAAATTTTAGCTTTTCTTTTTCCTCTCTGCCCTCGATCCCCTTGCTGCCCTGTGCCTTAAGCACGCGTGACCCTCACCCGCTCCATGCTTTCCGGCCTGCATGCTCCTCCACGCGGCTGGCTCCTGGCCTGCTCTCTGTCCGTATGAATCTAGACTTCCCTTTCTCTTTTAGACAGAGCCCTCACTCTCCTATGCATTTCTCTCACTGAATAAAAAGCTTAAAGACTTACCATGCTGCCTGGTTTATTTGAGCCAGTATTCAGAATATTTCTCTGAATAAATAGCAAGAGCCCACATGGCTTATTAATATGAGGAATATTAATAAGCAAATTAGTATCATTTTGGCGACCCAGATGGGACTTTTAATACCAGAGAGATTCCCAGTATTTATTAAAAGGAAAAAAAAGGCAGCATGCTTTAATTAAAAGAAAAAAAAATAAGAAAGAAAAGAAAAAGAAATTTTAGAAATTTAAAAAGATAGATTTTTTTTAAAGATGAAATATTTGCAAACCATTTTAAATAGCTTTATTGACTATTTAAGTACTTTCTCTTTAAAATGGAATTCTTACCTGGAGGATATTATGATTAGTGATATCTTCACAGTCAGCAGATGCATTACATGCACTTCTCCACCCTGGTGCAAAAGGATTAACTGGAGAGGAAAAAATGATAGGCCCATAAAAGCATTAAAAAAAGATTTTTAAAAGTTTCAAATATTTCAATAAAGCTCCAAATGCTAAATTTAGTATATGTGCATGCATGTGTTTCATCTAGCTATCTAGTCCAGGTGCACAATTTAAATAATTTGTACATTATGACTTTACTCCATCTGGGGGCTAATGGAAGTAACTACAAGGTTTTATAATTAATGTGGATACAGTAAATTTGGTTTAGTTACTTCCTTTTATTCAGTTCTCAAAAATCCAATTTGAAATTCTATAATAAGTTAGAAGTGGAATATTAGCTGCTTAAAATCTGTATTAATAAAATATATATCCTTGGAGGGATTCCAAACATGACTTTTAAGTTATAAGCAACAATATGACATATTTGAAGGTAAATAATTAGTATGTTATTTTTATTATTATTAGTGTGTTAATTTTTAAAACCACAACCAGGCTAAGATTAATAATATACTTTAGTGCTTAACAAACACTTAAGATCTATTATTTATATCTCATATTAATATGCTAATTTTATAATCTATTATGGCTCAGGACTAAATCCATAAAATTGAAAAATACAACAATTTTTTTTTACCTTGAAAGGCTATAAACAGCTCATGTACGAGACCATGTTCTGGAATTTTAACAAAATGGCACTTATATGATGGTTCTATGACATGACATGACAAATCAGAGATTAAATTATCCAAGATTTTCTTCAGCACTCTAAAGAGCAGGTCATTATATCTTCCTGCACAAGACTTGGTAGTGAAACGTACAGCCATCTGATATGAATAATCAGGTTCCCGATAGGCTTTAAAAAAAGATGAGAATAAAAACAACTGTGCCTATCATTAATTTCCTCTACCAAACAATTTTCAAATAACTAAATCCTACCAACTTTTCTAATCAGCATAGAAATTTCACTTAGCTAATAAAATGGTTTTCAGTTTGTCTTCACACAAACACACAAAACTAGTAACTTGAATGAAAACATGTTATTTTCACCTGATATATTTATCTACCTAGTGCAGGGATAGGGAATGTTTTTTCCTGCCAAGGGCCATTTAGATATTTAGAATATCATTTGCCAGCCATACAACATGATCAATTTAAAAATTAGTCTGCTACAGATTCACTGGATTTCGAGTCCAGCCTACGGTTGCTTTGGCAGGGCCAGACCAAGTGAGTTTTCAGGCCTTATACAACAGGCCTAACATTCTCCAGCCCTGACCTAGTTTAACATGAGAAATGGATTACATGGGTTGGCTAACAGGTAACACTGTCAAGAAAAAAAAGGATTGCTTAATTTGCAGAAAGTGTCACACTGCTGTCAGAACTGTTCTAGCACAGAGGTCATTAATTTGCTTTTAGAGAGTTAAACACCAGTCTTTACAGTACCTGGCAAAACAGTGATAAAGAAGATTGTGCTTGCTACCAAGACAGTGGGAAATGTCGAGTTGAGAGAATTATTTAGGGCAGACTATCCTGGTGTCAGGGCCAGCCCTGTGGTATAGCTGTTAGGTTCGAGTCCCAGTTGCTCCTCTTCCGATCCAGCTCTCTGCTAATGGCAGGGGAAAGGAGCATAAGATGGCCCAACTTGGGCCCCTGCACCCACATGGGAGACCTGGAAGAAGCTTCTAGCTCCTAACGTGGGCCTGGTGCAGCTCCAGCCATTGCGGCCATTTGGAGAGTGAACCAGTGGACAGAAAATCTCTCTCCCTCTCCCTCTCTCTCTGTAACTGCCTTTCAAATAAATAAATAACTCTTTAAAAAAAAGTTTAATTAGCCAAATACAAAAATACTCTAACAATTATCTCTCACAGATTCATTTTCACTAAATAAGAAAGCTTATGTTTAATTCTGATCCAAACTAAATGTACAAAATGTGTTTAAATTCTTACCAAAGATCATGAAATCATATCTCTTCTTTACTACAGTTTCTTCTTGGGTTTCTGCTTTAACAGTCTTATAAGAAAGAGTACACGTGTAAAGTCCAGACAAAGCCTCCATAAAATCAATCACTATCAATTTTCCTGTTGTTGTTATATTCATTCTATTATTTCCTAAACAGAAATAGTCAATTATTTGATTATTTAACATTTGATTCAAATATTATTTAATAAACTTGAGGTTATAACTAGACACAAAAATTTTAAAAAGTAATGTACTATTTCAACTTCAGGAATCCAAGAAAATGTTGATTCTGTGATATAATATCACATAAATACAGTTTTGGAATACATCCTTTTTATAAATTCATTTTTTGTTATCTAGTTTTGATTGGTTCATGCCAGTATTCAGTAAATAAGATTGTATGGCCCTGCATTACCATATCTCTTCACATAAAGCAAAATTTAATGATGTTTCTACTCCAAGGCACTCTTGTAACATCACGAAAAATTATACATTAAATATTTCATCTCATATCACTGGTGCTACAAGGATAAATTTTATGTTTTACAAAGGCTTTTGAACTAATACATCTAATACATACAGTTTTGGGAAGCAGTGTACAAAACTGCTGCTTCAGTTTTTGCATGAGAAAATAAGACACAGACCAAGATAAAACATGAATCATTCAAGTATGGACTAAGTAAAACTGCAGTTATATTTAAACTTGTTCTTTCCAATAAATGACAGTGCTTTCCTTAAAAAATTTACATATTTAAAAAGGATATATTAAAATCAAATATTTTACCTGTTAATGTCTTTTCATTTGGCCCAACCCATAAGTAGGTGGGATCCACTGTTTCTTTTCTAGAACGTACAAAATCCATACAGATAAGGACTGGGCTATTTTGATGTAATTTTACATATATTTTCACTGTGACAAAATAAAATGTATAAGTTCATTAAACAGCAAATTAAATGAAGACTTACACTCCTACCGTTTTGTCCCAATGATATTAATTAGTTCTTTTTGGATTTCACTAATTCAAAGTCAATATATTACTATAACACTCAGAATGTTTATCCAAAGTCCTTCTTGCTTCTAATAGTAAGTTTTAAAACTTGTAGGCTGCTAATCACTTTTTCTGTGCTATTATAGTTTTCTTTTTTTTTTTTTTTTAAGATTTATTTATTTGAAAGTCAGAGTTACAAAGAGAGAAGAGGCAGAGAGAGAGAGAGAGGTCTTCCATCCGCTGGTTCACTACCCAACTGGCCACAACCCCAAATGGCTGCAACGGCCAGAGTTGCACTGATCCGAAGCCAGGAGCCAGGAGCCTCTTCTGGGTCTTCCACATGGGTGCAGGTGCCCAAGCCCTTGGGCCATTTTGTACTGCTTTCCCAGGCCACAGCAGAGAGCTGGATCATAAGTGGAACAGCTGGGTCTTGAACTGGCACCCATATGGGATGCCAGCACTGCAGGTGGTGGCTTTACCTGCTACACCACAGTGTCAGCCCCTATAGTTTTCTTTATCAAAATGTATGTAATACATTCTAATGTACAGATTCAGAACTCAAATCAGAATTTTTGAAGGGTTGGTATAATCAATTTAAAGTTCAGAAGAGGACTTGATTTTGGTTGCAAAACTATAGTATTTTAAAGATGATGATGTGGCGTGGCAGATAAAGCCACTGCATGTAGTGCTGACATTCCATATGGACACCAGTTTGAGACCCGGCTGCTCCACTTCTGATCCAGCTCTCTGCCGTGGCCTGGGAAAGCAGCAGAAGATGGCCCAAGTCTTTGGGTCCCTGCACCCAAGTGACTCCACGTGGGGGACCTGGAAGAAGCTCCAGGCTCCTGGCTTCTGCTCGGCCTAGCTCCATCCATTACAGCAATTTGGGGAGTGAACCAGCGAATGGAAGACCTCTCTTTCTCTCTCTGCTGCTCTGTGGCTCTGCCTTTCAAATAAATAAATAAATTTTAAAAAAAATTAATCTCTCTTTAAAAAAAAGATGATGATGGTCATCACGAGGGAAATTTCGTATTTAATTGTACATTTCCTCTGTCGGCAATAATAACTAATCCTATACTGTGCGTGCCAGGAAACTGTTCCGCAGTGGCCTGTTCTTTCAGATTTGGTGACAGCAGCGATTGTATGCTTGGGATCCACGCAGTGCCACGAGATATTACAGTTTACCGAATGGCGGGTTCTGAGCACACAAAGCCCCTGTCCTACAATTTGGCGGTGATGGGAGGAAAGGATCCAAACATGGCGGGATCCCAAACATGACAGGTGCTATAGACTGGCTTGAGGTTATCTAACGTTAGCTGTGGGACTGTTTTCCTCGGAGGCTGGGAAAGTTCCTGGCACAGTGAGGAAGACGGGAGCTGAGCAGGAGTTCCAGTTACGCAGGCCTTACTAACAAGAGGGGCTTCCAGCCCCGCAGAGGGGCTCCTGCGGCACAGCCACCTGGAAGTGAGGTGACAGGAGGGGAGCAGACGTGCGTTGCATCCTCGCTCCTTCCGGCCGGGCGGCGGGAGGCAGGGTCATTCAGCTAAGGCTAGGGTCGCTATGAGGACAGGCCCAGCACACAGTAGGCGCGCAAGAAACGCGGGAAGAACCTTAGCAGACCCCCGGCACCCCGGCTCTGCGGAACGGCCCTGCGTGTGGGGCGGGCCTTGTTACCTGGGTGTCCTGGCTTGCCATAGATGAAGCCTTTCTTACTGAGTAAGGAAGAACGCTGCCATCCAACTGCGGAGGGGAAGAAACCACGGAGTTTTTAGTGAGGGGAGGAGCCAGGGCTCCGCGTGGGGCAGGGCAGGGAGGAGCGGAGGCGGCTGGAAGGGCAACGCCCCGGGCAGAGGGGACAGGCCTGGGGCCCTTGGAGAGGAGCCACACCTCCTGTGAGGTACCAGAGCACCGCGGAGAGAAGGACCCACGCTCGCATCACGACTCAGGAACTACCGTGGAGGGCTGGGCGCCTTCCTACCTCAGCCCCAGCCCAACCCCTCCCCATCGCGCCTCCACAGGAGCAGCAAACCGCCGGGGGTCGCCTCCCCTACCGGTCTGTCGCTGCTGCGGGAGAGCGCATGCGTGCCTCGAATTCGCGCGCTGTGGGGGGGGGAGGCGGGGCCAGAGCCCCACCCCACCGAGCCCACGTGGCCCACGCGGGGGCGCTTCCCGCCTCCGCCCATTTTTTCCTGCTGGGGGGAGGGCTGAACGCTTAAAAAACCCTCCAGGGAAGAAGAGCCAAGGGCAAAGGAGGCCCAGGCTTCGAGAGTGCCGAGACTTCTTCAGTCCAGGGGCTCAAGGAACTGAGGAGCGCACACAACGACCGCGATGGGGGCTGGCGGCTAAAGGGCCCGGCGGAAAATTTGAGGGGGGAAAACCGGAAAAGATTTTCCCGCCAAGTGGAAACCCCCGGGGGAAGGCCTTCGCTTTTTTCCTGACTCTGGTGGAAACCGGGGCTAACTCTTTGAATTCGAGCGCCTATTTTTTTTTTACCAACTGCATAATCTTCCATAAACAGGGCCCTGAGACAGAGCACTCGGCTCCTCATCCCCCTGAGGAATTTTGGATTATCATTTTCAACTTCACTGCAGACTTATCTGAGACTGTGAAGTAACCTTGCTTTAGAAAATGAACTCAACTGAAAGGCAAGAGCCCGAGATTGCTTTTCCCTGGGGATGGACGACTAGTCAGAAACAGCAGGAGCGTGTCTGCGTCTTTCGTGGTTCCTTCTTGGCTACTGATTGGGTGGCCCACAACTTTTTTTTTTTTTAAAGATTTATTTATTTGAAAGGCAGAGTTACAGAGAGGGAGAGGGAGAGATAGAGAGAGCTAGAGAGCAATGGCTTTCATCTGCTGGGTCACTCCCTAGATGGCTGCAAGGGCCACGCCTATCTGAAGCCAGAAGCTGGGAGCTTCTTCCAGGTCTCCCACACAGGTGCTGGAGCCCAAGGACCTGGGCCATCTTCTTAGGCCACAGCAGAGAGCTGGATCGGAAGTGGAGCAGCTGGGATTCTAACCGGTGCCTACATGGGATGCTGGCACTGCAGGTGGCAGCTTTACCCTCTATGCCACAGCTCTGGCCCCGGCCCCAACATTTCATGTGTTGTTATTTCTTAGCAGTGGGACACCACCCGCAGTTCAGTAGTGGTTTTGAGTAGGTTGGAACATAGAGAGCCCAAGGTTCAGACAGGGTGCATAATGGTTATTTAGGGTGTGATCAAGAGTTTTCAGTTTTAATTTCCTTTGAGCCGAGTCAGTATTTGGACTATCTTAAATGGTCCAGGAGCAACCTTTGTCAGTAATTTCATTTTTAGTCACTGTTAATTTTACCTATATAGCAAAAACCATAAAATGTGATTCAGTGACTCAGATCCAGCCATTGGCAGTTACCATGTCTAGATTTCATGGTTTAGTCTTAACTGTTCCCCTTCTTGAAGTGATGATAATGAAGACAAATTTAGGCATTATCTTCAATTCCCTAGAAGCTTGTCATTCCAGTTTTAGTCAAAGTATATTTTAAGTCCACAGCATGTTTTTGGGCTTCCCAGTTATAAGTACTTAATTCTTTTTTTTTTTTTTTTGACAGGCAGAGTGGACAGTGAGAGAGAGAGACAGAGAGAAAGGTCTTCCTTTTGCCTTTGGTTCGCCCTCCAATGGCCGCCACGGCCGGCGCACCGCGCTGATCCGATGGCAGGAGCCAGGTGCTTATCCTGGTCTCCCATGGGGTGCAGGGCCCAAGCACTTGGGCCATCCTCCACTGCACTCCCGGGCCACAGCAGAGAGCTGGCCTGGAAGAGGGGCATCCGGGACAGAATCCGGCGCCCGTGATCAACTTGGAATCCCACAAGAAGAGATTTAACCAAATGAGTTGTAGTCATCTATTCAAAGTATGTGTCCATTCTTTTAAAAATAATTCTTTAATTTTAGACGTTTTAAATTATAGGAAAATTGCAGAGTTCACCTATACTCCCACTTTTCCCTATAATTGACACATTAATATTACATTTCTCACAATAGCCAATATTGATACATACTATTAGTTAAAGGCTATACTTTGATAAGATTTCTTCAGCTTTTAGCTAATGTCCATTTTCTGCTCTCGGGTTTCAACCAGGATCCCATATTATTTTTATTCGTAGTATCTTCTCAGATCCCTTTTGAGCGTGACAATTACTCAGACTTTTCTTGTTTATGGTGACATTGACCTGGCCTCAAGTGATCAGGTATTTTGTAGAATGCCTCTCTACTGGAATTTGATGTTTTTCTCATTATTAGACTAGGGTTGTGGGTTTGGAGGAGGAAGCCCACAGAGATAAAGTGACATTTGCATCACATATTGAGTACAAACCGTCAGTGTGCTTTATCACTGCTGATAATCTTGATCACCTGGCTGAGGTAGTGGTTGTCCACTATAAAGCAACTCCCTCCCCCCTCCCCCCCTTTGAACTGTACTCTTTGGAAGAAAGTTACTATGTGTAGCCCACAAAGTAGGGATTTTATGTTCTACCTTTTTGAGGGCAGAGTAGTTAAATTAGATTTTTTTACCCATCTACTTTTTAATCTATCCCCTCAGGTGTCACTCTGTGGAGTCTGAAATGCTCACCATTGAACTATTTGCAGAGTAAGTATAAAGGCTATTGTGATGGAAGATAAAGTTTATTTATAGCTTTTTAATAACCAAATAACTATTTATCCCTGCACCATCCCTGTGAAAGTTTACAGTTCCTCTTCTGCTTCTTTTGATGTGCTATTTTTGCTTTCAGAAACTAACAAGCAACAAATTTCCCCTTTCAGATCTAAAATTAAATCTAGTATTTAGAGTATTTCTTTGAAATTGATATTATCCTGTGGGACTCCAGCTAACACAACTATGGAGATGCTGTTTCGATGCTGTGATCTTAAAGCCAGTGCAAGTTATATACTCATTAAAAAATGCAGTACATAAGAGTATATTATGTAGATTGGTTATACCAAGATACTCATTAAAATAAATTCATACAATTAAAGCATGCATTCTTTAACTCATAAGCATGTCTTCTGATGTGGTCAGCTGATGCACAAACTCTCAGTCTTAAGTCTGAAATATATTTGTATATACTAACTATAATTTTACATTTTATTTATATTAAATTTCTATAAAATGTGATTTCCTAACAAAAGTGGCAATGGAATCATTGATATATTGTAACACTGGGTATCTTGCAGACTCTCTTAAACCTCCATGTAAAGAAAAATTGTGCTTTGAAAAACTTTTGTGGTCATTTTCCTTTCCCTACAATTGTATTTGTGCTTTACACTATAAAGTGGGGAGGATGTTGGGTAAAGACGTTGACTGGTGATCTATGTGCACTGACATCGTTCAATCACTTTTACTCTTACTACCCTGCTCCCTTGACTCTACTCTCTTTATTTACGTTCTGGATACGTAGTTTATGTGTCCTGTTTGGAAGAGGGCAGAGTAGCAGAAAAATAAACACGCATAGATAGAGCAGTATTTTGTGAGTAGTGGCAAGTAAACCAGTTTCCAGAAGGGAAAACAAACGTGAGAGAATTGGTTCCAAAAATTAAAAGGTTGAGTTGATGCAAGTGCCAAAATCTTTTTGAATTTTTTGAAAAAAAAAAAAAAAAAGATCGAGAACTTTTTATCCTATGAAATGAAAAACTAAGGAAAAAGAAATACCGTAAACAATACATGGAATGAAACGAATTCTCATTGATGGTTTTCATGGCTGTCTTTCCGGAATCTAGACAAAAAGTTTCAGATTTTGTTCAATCTGCAAAGAAAGCAATGCAGCACCTCCCCCACCAACCCCTACGCCCCGTATACTACTCTCCCATACATTATCCTTCTAAAACATTCTAAAAGAATTTACTGATGCGCCATTTCCATCCTATTGGGGTCCCTCCAGTCTGACATTCAAAAGTAGGGGCTGAAGGCGCGGAACCTGCGGCGATCTGCAGTGAGCGTCCTTTAAAGCAGCCGCCAGCCAGTGCCGCTGTAACCCCGCGCACCGGTAGGTCGCCGGCTCCTGCCCCTTTCAGTCTGCGCCGACGCAGCAGCCAGATCCCGGGACTCCCCACGCCGGGAATCTCCCGCCAGCTGCGCCCTGTGTCCCGACGACGGCAGGAGCACGTGGAGCGGCAGGGCAGCCAGAGCAGCGGCTCCAGCCCAGCCTATCCCGGCGGCGGTATGGAAGGTGAGCCTCCAGCGCGTTTCTTTCCTAAGGGGTCTTTGAGAAGCTCTACCGGCCCGCGCAGCAGAGTTCTTCCGAATCTCGGTTTTGCTTCTATTTATTTCTTTTGTCAAAAGTAAATAGGTATTTCAGAGGGCAGAGCTCGTTGGTTCTCATTTGTCCTCCCTCCCCACCCCCAACTTTGAAAAGTGATAACTTCTCCCAAATATTATTTCTTAGGGATTGTCAGACGTGAAGGGTCAACCCTAAGTCTGCAGAGGAAGAGCACATATGGGTCATCCCGAAGGGGCAGCAGACCTGGGGTGGAATAACTAATCCTCTGGGATTTTTTTGGTTCATGGCCTCAGTGTCCTTTGGAATTAGGCTAATCTGAGTAACCTGTTTTGAGCGAAAGGTGACTACTTTTTTCTTCTAAGGGTAAATGCTGTCAAACAGGAAAAGTATATTTTAAAGAGGTTAACACTTGCAGATCCCTTGGAACTTGATCTTCTAAGGAGCCTTCTTTACTCAAAGCAAAAATCAGGATCCCATTAAGAGATTCATTTGAATTAATTTTTGAGAGTTATAAACTTAGCCTTTTTAAAAGATTTCAATAGGTACTTCCTTGTGATAACTAAAACTTCCATTGCTACAGTAAACTGCAAGTCTTTTTAACAAGTCTTTCTAAAACTTTGAAAATGGCAGAAACATCTCAACTTGGCAGAGGAAGTGGCATTTGGAAAATAAAAACTAGTGAGAAACATATTCCTTCTACTAAAAGATGAGATACTGACGCCTAATTAAAATGTTAATTTGATGAAGATCATGGGAGGTTTTCTCCATAATAATCAAAGGGGCTTCACTGACAATGAACCTTGATCTTTGACAGCTCTAAAAGTTCTGGAGTATATGAAATTATCAAAATATGATTAAATACTTCGGTACACAGATATATGTGGTAAAACTTTTGTTTCACAGTACAACTGAGTGCAGTAATGCTGTCTAAATCTTCAGTTTGTACATGAATATGCTTGTAAAAATTTTTTCATGTCTTGACCTATATGAACATTTCTAAGTAAAATACCAAATGATAAGTCAATGAATAATATGCTTATTAAATAGAAACATGGTCAATATTGAATAGTCCTTCATATATTTCTCATATAAAAACTCTGCTTTTAATTTTTTAATCAAGTAACTTTTAAAAACTTTATACTTTGAATGTTGAAATACTAGTTTATGAAGTGTTACTTTTAACATGTAAGGGTATCTTGGCCAATAACAGAAAAAATAACTTTTTAAAAAAGGTTTATTTATTTTACTTGAAAGTCAGAGAGAGCCGGTGCCGTGGCTCACTTGGCTAATCCTCTGCCTGTGGCACCAGCACCCCGGGTTCTAGTCCCGGTCGGGGCACCAGATTCTGTCCTGGTTGCTCCTCTTCCAGGCCAGCTCTCTGCTGTGGCCCAGGAAGGCAGTGGAGGATGGCCCAGGTGCTTGGACCCTGCACCCGCATGGGAGACCAGGAGGAAGCACCTGGCTTCTGGCTTTGGATCAGCACAGAGCGCCGGCCGTAGTGACCATCCGTTGGGTGAACCAACGGAAGGAAGACCTTTCTCTCTCTCTCTCTCTCTCTCTAACTCTGCCTGTCCAAAAAAAAAAAAAAAAAAAAAAAAAAAAAAAAAAGTCAGAGAGAAGGAGAGGCAGAGAGAGAGGTCTTCCACCCCCTGGTTCACTCTCCAAGTGGTCACAACGGCTGGAGCTGTGCTGATGTGAAGGCAGGAACCAGGAGCTTCCTCCAAATCTACGTGGGTGCAGGGGCCCAAGGACTTGGGCCATCCTTTGCTGCTTTCCCAGGCCATAGCTGGATTGGAAGTGGAGCAGCTGGGTCTTGAACCGGCACCCGCATGGGATGCCTGCACTGGCGGCGGCTTTACCTGCTACGCTACAGTGCCAGCACCAGAAAAAATAATTTTAAAAAGTTTTCATGTTTTAATTATTACAGATTGTTAATGTATTTTTGCTGAAGTTTTAAATATCCCAATACTGTTTTCCTAGTTTTAACCATATCACATATCAAAAATAACATACAGAATTTTGTTAATTCATAGAAACTGGAGTATTTCTCTGTAAATGCTAATGCTAGACAAAATAAACCAAATGCATCTTTTAGGATGTTAGTGTCCTAACAAAGATTTTTAGATAAATTTGGGTGAAGGCATTCTGAAGGAGAAAGGAATGAAAACTTGCATAGAATTTCATTCAGAATGTATGAGTATAGATTATAAATGGAAAGGAAATGTGGATCAGTGATTTTAAAAGCTGTGAGTTTAGATGATTAGGTTAAATACATAGGTCCATAGATAGATGTTATATACTATATTTAGTGCAAACATTCAAACATTTAAGTTAAAAAAAGGTTAATAATGTGAGTTTGGTTATTCTAACATCAGATGCTTGAAGATAGAGTGTTTGATGTAATAAAATATCTAGTTCATTATAACCACCCATGATTGATGGCTCATGATTTTGGCATTTAGATTACAGTATTCTTCTATCATTTTGATATTTTGATCTCTTGGCAATGTAAGAAAGTAGAATGCTTTATGGAATACCTTTATTTTCTGCCTACTATGAAGGTTAGGTTAACACACTGTAGATTTTTGTAAAATGTGAGATAGTGTAGTTGGGATCTATTATTCCTTTAGCATGTAAAATTACTTTTCATAATTTATCAACATTTATTAAAATGTTCTCTGTGTGAAGATGTCAGATGAAATAAGCTTTTGTAATAGAAATCTTGTCATATAAAAACGAAGTTAATAAATGATAAATATAATCATAAATCATAAGTTAGAAAATTTCCCTACAATCTATAACCCTAAGTATTTTCTATCCAAAGACTTTATGTATTGCTAAATTTTTGTTATTTGTGCTGTAAGAACATCTCTTCTGTCTGGTATGATTGGGAAGTAAAGTAGTTTACAAAAACGAGTTTCAGAGGTAATGGTAGGTTTCTCATTTAATATAAATCCTTTTTATTTTAGTAATATTGGAAAAAGATTTTTTCTAAATGTATTTAATATACAGTCTCCTCTGCTTTATAAACAGATTACATAAGAGATGATTTTATCTTGGTTGATATTTTGCTTATCAGATAATGTATTGTTCTGTAGTATCTCCTCACAGGGAGTTTTAAACTGGGAACTACATGCTCCTACCTGAATATTCCCAGGTTATTTTCCAGTTTTTATCTTTTTAATGTCAGCTTCTGCTTCCCACCACGTGGATTTTGTGGTAGCCATTTTTTATTTTCACGTCCCTTTCCATGTTCTGGATGGTTGAAATCAACAGAGAAATAACCTCCAGATGGTATTTACTTGCTCTCCATTACGAGAAGAGGGAGGTTGAGATGGTAAAATTTTGAGGAACAAAAGCCACAAAAGGACCTTGGGATCCTGATAAAATACAAGTTTTTAAAATTCCTGTTTGTACCTCTTATAATCCAATTTACTATTTCACACTTCCACATGTCCACTAACATTTTTATCCCATTGTCTACCTGGTTATGGCTGCTTACCTTCTAAGACTCTGCTCAGGTGTCATCATGAAGGTTCTAAGGAAGACCTGCCGTCTGATGACCACCTCCTTCTAGTGTCTTCTGAAGTTCACCCCTTCCCAGTTGGCTACCTCCCTATGCATAGGCTGAGGGACCCTCCTTTCTGTGTATACTTCTATCACATTGAATTGAAATTATTTATGGATTTAGGTGTTTATTCTCCCTCTGGTCTTTACACTTCTGGTGATCACAGACTATGTCTTATTTTTGTATGTTCTGTGCTAGGGAAAAGTTCCTAGTTCGTATAAGACCCTAAGAGTTTAGGAAATAATGGCCAAAAAGTTCTCTTCATTATGATTATTATGATACATTTTATTTAAAATTTTTTGAGAGTAGGAGATTTGTGCTAACAATTCTTTAATAAAGCTTAATGATTTTTCAAAAGTATTTAAATGGTATAACTGAAAAAGAAACTTGGAAAATAAAAATTTTACTGAATTTTTTTGCTAGATTGTCATTTAAAACCAAACCTTATCTATTATCAGGATCACATATTAGTCCTTTAAAATATGCATCGAATATGAAGAATTGGTTCATATTCAATAAATAATCAGTAAGATACAATGGTGATATAAAATTAGTATTAACTTTTCCAGTGCTACTTTTTAAATACATTATGGATTGAGCATCCCTAATTTGAAAATCTGAAATCCAAAATGCTCCAAAATCAAAACTTTTTGAGTGCCAACATGATGCCCTGAGTGGAAAGTTCCACTTGAGTTTGTGTGGCAGGTCTCAGTTAAAACCCAGGGGTTGGTGTTGTGGCAGAGTGGATTAAGCTGCTGCCTGCAAGGATGCCAGCATCTCATAGGCACCGGTTTGAGAACTGGCTGCTTCACTTCCTATCTAACTCCTTGCTAATGCACCTGGGAAAGCAGCGGAAAATGGCCCAGGTTCTTGGGCCCCTACATCCATGTGGGAAACCCGGAAGAAGCTCTGGGCTTCTGGCTTCGGCCTGACACAGCCCTGGCTGTTGTGGCCATTTGGGGAGTGAACCAGTGATAGAAGATCTCTCTCCATCTCTTCCCTCTCTAACTCTGCCTTTCAAATAAATAAAAAATAAATCTTAAAAAAATTGCCTTCAGTCTGTACATATGAGGTGTTCATGAAACGGAAATGAATTTATATTTGGACTTGGGTTCCATTACCAAGATATCTCATTTATATTAAAAAAAATTTCAAAAACTAAAAACAAAATCTGAAATCCAAAGCATTTCTGATCTCAAGAATTTTAGATAGGGGATTTTCAACCTGCAGTAATGTTTAAACTGGTTAATTTTGCTGGTTAACTTGTCAGAGGTACTGTCAAAAATTCAGTAAAAAATATCGGAGGGGTGGGTGTTGATGAAGTGGTTAAGACGCTGCTTGGGATGCCCACATCCCATATTGGAGTGCCTGGGTTTGAGTC